ATTTAAAATTCAAACCAATCTATATAAAGGGTGTCCCGGAACTCTCTACCAATATTTTAGGGCATTGCTCCTGGGTAAGAAACATACCTAAATATCATATTTAAATTGTCCGGAAGTCCTTAGTTACTCACACAGCCGCCATTTTGTTTTTTCAGTTATTATTTTTTTTGAAAGAATGGTTAAACATACGAAATGGAAACTTTGCACAAACATTTATGACAACTAGAAAAAGCTACCAAAACATTATGAAGATTTTTCAAATTCATAAAACAAAATGGCGGCCGTTTAAAACTTTTGTAAAATCAATGGTTTTCGAGTTATTTAAGAAACAAAATTTTAAACGGCCACCATTTTGTTCTATGAATTTGAAAAATCTTCAAAATTTTTTGGTAGCTTTGTCTAGTTGTCATAAATGTTTGGGCAAAGTTTCCATTTCGTATGTTTAACCATTCTTTAGAAAGAAATTAATAACTGAAAAAAACCAAATGGCGGCTGTGTGAGTAAACTAAAGACTTCCGGACAATTTAAATATGATATTTAGGTATGTTTCTTACCCGGGAGCAATGCCCTAAAATATTGGTAGAGAGTTCCGGGACACCCTGTATAAATAAAGTCATAGTTTTGTCTGTTTATTGCTCAGAATTATACATATTTTGGGCTATTTTTACGTTTTATACATTGAAGAAGTTGAAATATCTCACGTTTGTCTTATCTCAAATTATGTCCGTCTGTCACGGCCCATAAGGCATTTTACGCAGCCTACTCTAAAGAAAACTAGAGTACCGATTATGATTATAATGGTTTAATTGTATTTGTATCCACAGGATTGGCGAGAGTGTCCTTATAGCCATTAAAATATGGCCTCATCATTTTTTAAATAAAATAACGGACGATCAAAAACACAATTTTGTGTGATTTTTCTAGTTTATTTTCTCCATGTTTACTACATACGTCATTTATGAAATACTAATAATCTGTTAAGAGAAGACGTCATATATGAAATTACGAACAGCTGTTTTGATAAAGATTCCTTTTTCTAGCTGTCACTGATATGTTTACATAAATGTTGTTTACGAATACTGTGTAGGCCCTAACCATTTCCGATCACGTTTGTAAGCAAAACCAAAACCAAGTGAGATTAATAACCGTGTGGCTTTGGCTTACATAACGGGTTTGATTTATCACGGGTACTAATATGTAACTGTAAATTAAATTAAATAACTAGCCATCATCCAGGTCGGGAACCGGAGATTCTTTGTGTATCAAGTTATACTTGAATTTTGATTACCGAGAAAAGACCGTGAATCAGTGTTGTACAGGACTGGAAAACTTATCTTTCTATATAAATAAAATTAGAGTTTTATAAGTCACCTCAATTTAATAATTAGCTGGGAGACAAAGTTTTTATTTTAAATTTTATTGTAACTTATTTATTTATTTATTTATTCATTTCGACGGCAATCGCCATTTTACTTAGAACTACTTAATAACTACTTAGAAAACCAATGAATAAAAATATACAAAGAAAATATTAAGGATTTTTTATTGCCAGAATATCTATATAGCGTTCGTAACCTCTGCTTAACGAATTGTCAGCGTCTTTCTCTTGATATAACGATCCCCTCTCCCTGCCTTTAAAAACATCTCAGCTCCTTTGATGAAAATGAAATGGAATCAACGCTTGCGCCAACAATCGTCTGCTCCGTTTTACACTTCTGTCTGCTGTGCGCTATGTTACAACAGATTTCAGATACTGTACAACAGCTGGGGAATGATGACAATATAATGCTTAGTAAACTGTGATTGATTGATTAGTAACCATGGTAACTTTAGTAAGGCTATGATTGGCCAATGAGTAGGCCTAAATATGGCGACTTGTTGAATTTGTGTATGAATTGAAGAGAAACCTATTAAAGAACAGAAGAACAAAGATAAATAATAACAAGATTGTTCTTGTTACATTCTTTTTTAAGAGTGTTTTAGTTATCTCTAAATATAATTTTACACTTTTTTATCAGGCATACTTATCTATCAATTTCTATGTTGTGATACAGCACCTCGGTAGCCTATGTGTCCATCATGAGCAGTACCTTATAACACTTTCTAAAGGTTCCTTTAATATTTACGTTATTTATAGCAATGCAGTGTTCTGCTAGTTATTAGTTGAGTTTGAGATAGCTATAATTTTAAACGTTGTCGTTTGTACAACTGAACCAAGATAAATGATTTGAAAATTTTTAAAATAATAATGTTATTGCACAATAATAATGATTGTGCAATATTGAATTTCGTTTATAAGAATGCAAATCGTAATGTTAATGGCTGTTTACAGCGTTTTAATGGGTTTGTCATCATTCTGTTTTTATACTATATTCTATATTGAATTAACCGTATTTTTCATTACTTCCCCTCACTATTAACTCAGGTAATCTAGTATCTACGCAATAGTGCAAAGTATTGTAGCCTATGCTACTTGATTTCACTATTTTAACTAGCTTTATGTCAACAAAGCGTTCTGGGCTAAGTCGCGGTGTAGCTGGACGTGTCTGTACCATGCGTTATCTTTATCACAGCAGTTGAGCCATCCCGTGCGCTCCCTCTTAGATCTCACGTCTTGCTAATCTTGAATAATAACTTTCTACACGAATCCTAAACTATCCTAAAATCCTATTTTAACTAATTTAATTCAATAATATAACTATTGTCATTAACTAATCCACTTTCTATCCGGCGACTTCGTAATATATTTTGGATTGTCGTCACGTTGAACACTGCTGCAATTAGCTTTAGCCACCCCCCCCCCCAATTTGAATTTTTTGAGCCCCCCCCCAAGAATTTCAATGACGCAGTCTGCGTCACAGCCCCCCCTTGTGGGCACCCCTGCATATAGGGAAATTCGCCAAAAGAAAAATGCTAGTATTTTTATTCTTGTAGAGGGGTTTTCATGTTTCATAGCAATGCTGGTCTTACCAGGGTAATTTATACAGTAAATGAAAGCTTATATAAATTTGTAAAGTATGATCAAGATTTGTAACAAATGTCTTGGCTATATTTAGGATAACCAACCAAGAACTATCACTAGTTTTATACTTAAACGATAAAATATAAAATCCCGCGGATTCACCTAATTATTTTATTGAAGTGATAATGCCGCAACGCCTAGGTCTTGCCTGAAGTAATGTGAAAACAATCACAGGCTTGTGTCTAGCATTTTTTGACAAATAATGTAATTGTGTTTTATACATATTGTGGGAAGATCATGTATTGTATTTGTATATCATTGTAGGAATAAATTAATTTTCATTAAACAGGCCTACACTGGTTGTGAGTTAAACTGCGTTAGATTAAAATGTTGCTTACTTGCCTATTTTTTTTATACCAGATACAAAATTAATCATTTTGGTTACTTATCCTTAAATTTAATATTGATTCTATTTGTTTTGACTTTTTTCAGAGGGAAAAAACCTGCCACTGTGGACAGTGGGGAAGAAGTTCCACTCAATGAGGATGAAGATCTTGTTGAATAGATAACTTACCCTGTATTATTAAAGTAATCGTAAAATGAGGAATTTTTGAGGGAATTGTTTGTTGAAAGTTAAAGATACGAGGCATTTTCAAATGTAAATGTGTTATGTAAATATTCAATATAAATCTATTTAGACAAATTACCTCTTGTGTTTTATTTTTAATTTAAAAGAATTCTGAATTCTACGTACTGAATAGTAATAATATGTAAAATTGTAGGGTTGAAAACTATAATAACTCATGTTTTCCTGCTCTTTTATAAAAATAAGTTTTTAGATGGTATCTCACCTTTTTATTTAGAGATGTGGCTTGGCATTTAACAACTAGAGGCATTGAAGTTATTAGATTATGTTGTGATTGTGAAAATTATCTGAAATATTGGAAGATTATATTGTGCTATGCATCTCAACCTAAAAATATGAAATTTTCATTACATGTGTCAAGACTGTGTGAAACCTGGTAAAAGCATATGAATTAAATTTTCAGAAATAAAAAAGAGCTTGTAAGTGGCTAAAAAAGAATTATTTCTTGTACTCTTCAATTTATATTCAAATTAGATGTTTCAATTTTTATTCAAATAAGATCTTTCAAGTTTTATTCAAACTGGAGGAGCGGGAACTTCGACGCATGATTTTAACTTGAATCAAGTTTACAAACCCGATCCTTCAAGTTTGCAGATTTGACAAACCAAACTTATTTCAAGCTTGAATCAAGTATTTTTTCAATTTATATTTAGATTAGATAGTTCAAGTGTTATTCAAATTAGATGTTTCAATTTTTATTCAAATTAGAAATTTCAAGTTTTATTCAAATTAGATGGATCAAGTTTTATTCAAACTGGAAGAGCGGGAACTTCGACGCATGATATTAACTTGAATCAAGTTTACGGACCCATCCGAGCAAACTTGTTTCAAGTTTGCAGATTTGACAAATCAAACTTGTTTCAAGCTTTAATCAAGTATTTTTTGCTATCTGGGATCTATCTATATTTAAATATGCTACATGTTTTTTCTTGTGGCAACTAATTTGAAGGAACGGCTGGGTGTAGAAACTTGGTAGAGGTGTCTAAAGAAAGGTCTTGGTGTGTAGATGAGCCATCAAAAGAGAAACCAGGTAAATTCCCTTGGGGCTCTACCCCAGTGGCCAATAAGGTTTCCTGCCCAGATTTCTTTACATTATGACCATATGGATAATTTTACACTACTTTTTAATTAAAAAGCTGTTAATATTTAAATTGTATTTCAAAGGTAAATAAAATATTAGGTGTAAAAAACTATAAATTGTGTATTGTGTGAACTATCTAAAAAAATATTGTATGAAAAACTATATAGTTAATAAGGTGTATTAAAAACACAAAACACACATTGATATGAGACATTTAACATAAAAACTTGACATTAATTAGAATAACTGTCGCGGTGCGTGTATATACTTTGCATATAGCCTACTTTGATATGAGTAATTCTAGAACCCACCTTTCCATACATAGTCTTGAAATGCACAGCAATCTCCTGGCGTTGAGCATTGGTTCGGTTGGTCAGCACCTGGATAATTGCCTTCTCATCAGTGCCGAACCCTTTCATTGCCTTCCTCAACACCTCAGCATCAGACTTGGGGTCAAACGGATGAGCTGGTCTTACAGTGGGATTGCCCTGGGAATAATAAATATTCAAGTACTGTGCGAAGAGAAATATTTAAATGTTTAGAAAATAGTTAACGTGTATTATTACTTGTAATATATTTTAGTTGTTGACACCATTAATTGTACAGTATATATAATAAAGTATAGTTTGATTTGATCATATCTTTCTATTGCTCTTAAGCATAAAACTGCTAAAATTTTGAGCATGGTAAAAGAAACTGTATGTTACAGTTGCTATAATTTAAATGCTTATTTCTCAAACAAATCATTGATGTAATAATTAGATGTTTATGGTGTTTAGATGTTAATTAGATAATGCCAGGGGACGGAGCATTGCTCGTGTTTTTAATTTGTAGGGAACGTTAAAAAATAAACATAGGATTACATATATGTATGTATAACTTTTAATGATATTATAAAATACAGTCTAAAAAGTGTATTAAAACAAATGATATAATAACATTTGAGCTATTGGTATAACATTTTATGCACAACCCTGTCGTCTCAAGTCATTGAAAACCATTGTAGGCCTAAATAAACTTGCATTACTGACACAGTAAAAACGTAAAAAAAAATAAAAATTTTGTATTTAAAAATAGTATAATTACAGTATTGTCGTTTATTTAAGCATGGGCCATTTTATAAGACTGTATGTAATAATAGTTAATAACATGTTTTATAGCTTATTGACCTATATTCGACATCGAGTTTCCTGTACCACTTGACTTTAATTAATTGCCGATAGACGCATCGTACAGTTTTGTGCTAGGCTTAAGAAAGTGTTATTTTTATTCAAAATTAATGAATTCCATCCATGAATCTACTCTTAGAAATAAGTTTAAGTGTAAACATAAAAGTAAATGGTAAAATAATTAGTAAAATCTGCAAATAAACACTCCTGAATATTCTAAGACGTGAACACTCTTGAGTCTAGAGAATATTTGTACGTGTGTAAATTGGTTGGTTTTTATACTGAATTGCATTTATAATAGGTCTAAATAAAACAATAATGTTATAATTAAACTATTCATTTGGAACCCTAGTTAACCTATTAAAACATGCGCCTTATTTGTTTTTCGTATAGGCCTAAATCATTTTCATTTTCAATTTTGCCTTTGTTTAATTAGGTTTTAAGTAAAAATCTCTTTGGTAGACGTTCCCTGTTCATTCTTAATTTAATTAACAATCAATCATTTGAATACAGATGAACACTCTATATTGAAACTATCTACAATTAAGTTCAATAACAATCTTGTGATCAAATTTAACATCAGCTGTTGACCAGCATTGTTGCGGGTTGCCAATATTATGCGCTATCTAGTTGTGTCATGTTAGTCAATGGATTAATGTCGCAATAACGGGATCGTCTACAGATACTAAAACAGAAATGGTATGGATCAAAAGCATAAAAGAATGACGTCACTGGATTGAATCTAATACTATACATTTGTTTTTGGAAGTTTTTCGACATTTGCATTGAAATTATACTACAAACATGTTTATTTATGGTTCATTTGTTTGTTCATGATCCATATTGTTTCTATTGTATGATCCGTAAAACAACGGGCCCTCCGGTGGCGCATCATCGGAAACTACAGAACGTCCTTAGGTTCCCCCTGAAGACTTTTATTTCAGCATTATTATATAATCTTTTGTAGTTAACTATTCTACCATTATTAGCAGTCATAATTATCTCATTGCTTAATAAAACACCCTAAGTGAATTAAATTTAACCAATGCTAATTAGTATTTATAGGAATATCCTTTTCTTTTGTACTGTATTTAGTAATTTGTCACTGCACTGTAGATAATTTGTTAGAAGCATATGAATTACAATTCATTTATTTACATTTTTGTAAAGCTGTCTTGGCTACCGACCTTTCCATAAGACCAATGTTAAAAATATTAAAAAAATCATTTAAAGTTTTTAACAAAAAAATAATTTTCCCATAACCGTGGCTAGCATGGATAAAGTTTTTAGCCTGAAACTAAGGCATTCTTAACAATTTAGAGGAAATCATAGGAGCCATTTTTTGAAATCATTGTGCACAAACGTTAATGCTGCAGATTTGCTTAAGTAGTAGGGGACTATGTTTTATAACAGTATTATGTATGTAACAGTAATATGTTTAACTAAACGTAGTAAGTTATGTTTTAAATTAATTTTAAAAACTAATACTGTAAAATCAAATTAAGTATTTGAAATATGTAATAAAGATCCTTTCAAACAAGCTGCTTGGTTACTACGCAGAAATTGCGAGAACACAATAAGGAAAACAAACGTTGCACTTGTTTGAACAATACAGTACTGTCCGCGAGAGAAAAGAAGTCCCCTGAGCTCCGGCCTATTCGCAGTTTGAAGGCGTTACGCTTGAACGTTTCGCGGGACAATTAGAGCCGTCTTCACTCTTCGCTCTTTCGCTACACTACTGTGAAATAACCTGTTTTCGTTCCATGTTTATCACCTGCGAAAATCCATCATTACATTATTTACTACGGCAATAGAATGTTAACAATATTTTTTAGATTTTGCCGACGTAAACAAATAAATATTTGGTATTTCTTTATCAATTGTTTAAATTTTCTGAAAAGTAACGTTCAAAACACGAGTGAAAGTGGGTCTATAAATAATGATCAGCCTTCTTGCATTTTTTTCCGAGTGTACAGAGTTTTACATCCGGAGTTTGGTTGCAGGTTTTTCTAATTCGTTTAATAGTTTTTTATGACATTTTACAATAGTTTGCGGCACGTTCTGTTGCCTTTTCTATCGGCACTGATCACTTTTTGTCTTTAAATTCATTGTCACAACACTCGATCACCCGTCAAATTAAATCCCTCTCTCCACTATATATATAGTAGCACCACATTTTGATAAATCCATAGCTGCAAGGACTGTCCAAAACAAAACAGACCTCCAATACACAATCATACGAGACTGCACTGAATCTAATGACGTGACCATATGATGATAATCCACTTACCAAAACAAAGATATGAGTAATTATGTTTACAACAGTTGTTTACAGACAGACATCGAGGCAAGGCACTAAGATGCCTAGTGCCTGCAAATAGTGTGCGATACCCTCCAAACATAGCTGCGTATCGCTCTGGCTCAAGGGACTTCTTTACTCTCGCGGACAGTAATCAAAGTTCAATTAGTTTAATATCACAATTTCTTCAAAAAAAAAAAAAAAAAACTGTTACACTACAGTAAAAAGTTATTATTTACATCCCAACTATAATTATTTTTAAGTGAATTGGATGTTGGAGTAAATCAATAGTTATGTTCATGTACCTTCACTTTAATATTAGGTAAGAAAACCATTGTTATTACGAGAAAAATACAAAAAGCTGTATTCAATTGTCAGTTATCTAAGATGGGGCCGCCAAGTTATACAATATAAAAAACTATGCAAGTCATCAAATTCCATTCATGTCACGGTCATGCAGGGTTAAAGATTAGATTTAACCCTTCTTATGTATTGCAATATCGTCCTAAGCTTCTCTCGTTAGTGTCAGCTGAGCTAAGAGAATCCGGTCTGACTCCATTACTTGTTGGATAGAGGAAAATGGATCTAATGGCATAAGCCCCAACTGTTAGTGTTGGAAAGCACATTCTAAGACATGTTGCACACAATCTTTGACAAATAATCTTTGTTGGGAATCCAAATGTATAATTTTAAAACTAATTTTTCAAGACCGAACTACTGTATTTGATTTATTTTATTACGGTGATGTTATGGAAAAAAATGTTGAACCATATAAAAGTGTGTAGCTATCTATATAGTATTTATCCAAATTAATTTAATAAATGCCATCTTGGATTAAAAATTAATATAAAAGTTTGTTTTTACCTCTAATTCCTTAAAAATAAATAAAGGTTGAATGAATACGATAATAGCTGGTTTGAGTAATACCTATGAATACACGCCCTTTAAGAAGCGCAATGCCTTTGTTAAAAATTCAGTCTGGAAATATTTTGGATAGTTGGCGGCCGCTAGATAGACTATCGCGAGGGTGGCCAAGTCAGCTGACTATAGACCTCTAGCGGTCCTAGCTATGAAATTTAATTTTATTGTCATATATAATCACAGTTAAATCATTTTAGTTCAATCCAGAATATTTTTAACACCTGTACTATTTACAGAACCTAAATAAAAGAAGATAAATAAACGGTATCAGCAATCTGACACATATACTTTCTCCCTTTAGCTTATCAAAAATCTTTTATGGGTAGGCGATGAGAGTGCACTCTTTTGTTTAGAATTATAAGGACCATAACGGAAAAATGTCAATCAGTATCGGTTTAAAAAAAATCCAAATTAAAAATTTCTATGATTGTAATTTCTTTTTAAGCTCTAAAGAATGGTTTAAAAAGAATTTCAAAATTCTATGTTATCAAGGGTAAAGGTGTAAAGGGGGGTGTAAGGGGGGGGGGTAAGGGGGGTAGTTATCTAGCGTAAAAAATGGGAGACTCCAATTTTTACCTTGTGAAACCCCCCTAACTGTTGGTTGCCAACCCACTGTGTGAGACAAATAGTTGCATTACTTATTGAAGGCGTCTCAAAGACATGTCTTTGTATATTTTGGATTTTATTCACAAATGGAGCTGAGTTTACTTGTGAAACAAGACTAAATGTTAATTTCTTTAAAACTACTACGGCAATCGTATGTTATACAATTGAAATGTTGTTACTTTCAACATTGAAAATGCAATTTCATTCATTCACAAGAACATGATACTTATTAAGAACTGGGAACTTAAGAACTGGGTATATTGTTCCCTTAAAAGTCCTGACTATTACCAAAATGTTTTGCTATTAAAATTAACTATTTAAATCCAAGGGGTTAATTAAGGCCTCCATCGAACCACCCCGTTGCGACAAGTAGTCTCGTCATAATATTCCCAAACGTTAAATGAAAATTTAAGCTCCCGTCAAGTATGAATTGCATTCGGTGATTCAATTTCTCTGGCGACAGTCATGAACCCCACGTTGTTTAGTCCATCACCAGTTGACGAGCATCAATGGAGTAAGGTGTTTGGATAGAGAAAATGTGCACAAGGGGTGGAGAAAGATCAAAGAGGGTCTTACAAGGTTGCATGGTGTGTAGATTCCATGGTGTAGGTAGACACCATGTCCATGATACTGTACTAATGGTCACCATCATGGTGGTTTGAAGCAGTGACCAAAGTCAGGGGAAATCTGCATGCAGATTAATTACAATGTGATTGAGCGACAGAGACTATATGACTATTGATGACTCACTCCTAGAAGTATGCAAAGTTAAGTCTCCCCAATTAGCTTTTAGTGAATTTCCCACATAGGGAACCTAGCGAATTTCCCATATAGGGAACCTAGCGAATTTCCCATATAGGGAATAAGCTATTACCGTAGGTCTCATAGTAAGACCTAGACCCGGGACTGATTTACTTTTTCATTTTCAGGTCCCCAGAGGCCAAAAACACCATCCATTCAAATTCATATATATATATATATATATTAAATGGGGAATAAATCTGGCAATTTTAGGGAATATTTTAGTAGAAATCAAGCCGGGTACAGTAGAACCTCGGTTAACCGAGCCTCGCTTAACCGAGACTCCGGGTTAACCGAGGCCGTCCTCGGACGATTTTTTTTATTTAAAAAGCAAAAGAAACACGCACAAACTACGTACAGTAATGAGCGTTTGGGTGCTCCTTTTATCGCAATACGCACGCTAGCCTGCAATGCATAAAACTACTGTACAGTAAAATGTTGGCAACTGTTGTGTTTCCTCGGCCAAATATTTGCGTAGCTTAGCGCTTATCTTTGCCGAATGCATACGGCACTGTCACCCGACACCGCTCGCCAGAGCAGCTGCAGGTGTTGTAACCCGACACCGCTCGCCGCCGGACCAATGCGAACTGTTTCAATGCCGAGACGCGACTGAGCCACTCGCTCTCCCCACCACCCCGATTCGACTCCGTAGCTTATTGTGCATCTAATGGGCTGTCCTGGTGTACAGCTTCAGCCCGGATGTGTTCGTGCATCATCGGTCTGCCCGAAGACGCCATTTCGTCTCAGTGGCAGTCCTTTGTTTACTTTTACAAGTCAAGTGTCTATCACTGTTTTTTTATTGTGTGTTTAAGTGCAGTTACAGTAGGTGTAAATGAGTGCTAAACGCAAACGTGTCGTTGTGTCCTTAGAGACTAAACTAAATGCGATTCGTCGTCTGGACAATGGTGAGTCAATAAGAACAGTCGCTAAAGACTTGGGTGTTGGTGAGGTTACCGTCGGAGATTGGAGGAGGAAGAGGGCTGAGTTAGAAAAATGGGGTGCTCAGAGCTTAAATTCCAATTGCAATTCAGAGAGAAAAACGTTTAAAAAGTGTGAGTATGAAAAAACTTCCGAGGCTTTATTCTTATGGTTTTCGGAAATGAGAGCAAGGGGAAGTCCAATAAGTGGGCCTATTTTGCAGGCAAAAACGCTAGATTTCCATAAATCTTTTGGCGATGGTGATGAACCTTTTACCGCTAGTTCCGGGTGGTTAATGCGATGGAAGAAATTGATTTTGAGTGAGGGTCTTACATCCGATCAAATATTCAACTGTGATGAGACAGGCCTTAACTTCAGAATGTTGCCCTCAAAAACTTTAGCCAGTCAGCAGGAAACATCAGCTCCTGGGTATAAGAAATCTAAAGATCGAGTTACAGTTTTAGGATGTGCCAATGCTGCAGGAAGTTTGAAACTCAAACCAGTTGTAATAGGCAAGTATAAAAAGCCACGTGCTTTTAAAAATACTAATGTGGACACATTTCCCAGCACATACACAAACCAGAAAAACGCATGGATGGACTCGCGGATTTTCAAACAATGGTTTTTTGAGGAATTCGTTCCAGTCGTTGAAGCTTTCTTGGAGAACAAAAAACTCCCTCGCAAGGCCCTTCTTATTCTTGACAACGCTTCGTCCCATCCAGATGCTGATGAGCTAGTCAGCGATGGCATTAGAGCCTTATTTTTGCCTCCAAACGTTACTGCCCTCATCCAGCCTCTAGACCAGGGAGTTCTAGAAACTTTTAAGCGAAACTACAATAAGAGGCTGCTTAGAAATCTACTGGAGAAGCTAGAGGACGGGCTGGGTGTCACTGATGCTCTCAAGTTAATCACAATGAAAGATGTTGTCTACTGGGTGTCAGAAGCTTGGGATAACGTTAGGGAGGACACTATAAGAAGGTCATGGCGCAAACTTTTCGGAATTGAAAAGGCAAGCCGCCAAGAGACAGCTGCTCCTGAAAACCAGCCAAGAGCATGTCCTCCTGAAAATGAAGAGCTTGTGAATCTTTGTAACCACCTTCCAGTGGCTGAGCCCATCAGTGCAGAGGACATCAGTGAATGGATCAATGGAGATGAGGATCAGGCCCTAACTGATGACGTGATTATCCAGATGCTCAACCAACCAGAAGATGATGACAAGTAAGTTTTTGATTTTTTATTTATGCAAAATTTTAACATAAAAACATAATCCAACATCAATTTTTTAACACAACTGTATATTTGTTACACTTTAGTTAAATGTTGCCCATTCATCAATCCAAAACTAATTTCATACCAATTCCAACTGCTGCCTTTTGATTGCGTTACGGTTACGTAAAACAAAAGTTTTTTTTACAGCGATGAACCTGATGGGGCGACTGAGAAAATATCACATACAGAAGGTCTAAGAATGATCGAGGGAGCACTGGCATACATTGAACAACAAGAAACCGCAACAACAAACGATTTAGTTTGGCTGCGACGCTGGCGCAACAGGGCGGCTAGCCTAAGATCCTCTAATCTAAGTCAAAAAACAATAACTGATTTCTTTGGGAAAAAAGATTAGCTTACTTTGTTTATTTTTGTACAATGTACAGTAAATTAATTTTCATTTCTTTGATTTAATTTTGTAAACAGGAATACTGTTCAAGTACAATCATTCTGTTTTGATGGAAACTGATGATTACCTGCTGCCAACCCTGTTGATAAAATGTGTTCGGCCTTCTAGGAACTCCCTAAGCCCCTTGTCCATACCTTCTCTGTCAATGGCATACATATTTATCAACTGACGTGAGTAATTAACAAGGAATGACCCCTTACTATGGACTTCTAATCACAGAACATGTTACTGTTTCATACTTGGTGGGAACGTCAATTTTCTTAACTACTTCTTAACTTTTTAACTACTTCAAAGAAGCTAGTAGTCCCATAGAGGTGGAAACCACAGCACTAGTCTCAGATTTTAACCAGCTTGCTTGGCTGCAATAGGAGCTCGATGGAGACCTTTATTTACACTCAGCCCTTGTAATTATTACTCACACCCTCTCTGTCTTATAGATGATTAAGTTTTGTGTCAACGATTACTTTACACTTCTGTAGTATGTCTAGGAAAAATATAGCTGACAGGAAAACCCACTTTGACATTTTTATATGTGTTAGGTAAAACATGTAATACAAGATTACAACACAAACTTAACAAAATTAATGTTTTAAAGCCCACCAACTTAATAATAATATATTAATAAGTAAATGTTCTCATGACGAGCAAACATGCGACAATGAATCGGGTCAGATGCTTATTCAGTGATGATGTGGTCGTGTTAGCAGAATGGGTAGTGATAACGATCGAGTCATGCAATGGTGGTGTCAGTCGTCAGTCACACAAGCAACAAACCAACTCTCTCTGTACACTAACCAAGCATTGCAAACAACCTGATAACCCTCATATTTACATTATATCTGCATACATTTGCCATGTCAGTTAGGTAAACTCTTTTATATAGGAAAATATATCTTTTATACAGTAGAGTCCTGCAAACTCGGCGTAATGTGGACTGGAAGGGTGCCGAGTTTGTGAAATGTCGGGTTATTGGGAACTAGGGTTAAAAATAAGAACAATACAATTTTTAAGCTTTTAACCGCCTTTTTTTATTTATATTTATATTACATGTCAGTACTAAGTCATCAGGTATAGTACAACAAATCCTTGGTACGAGTTGCAAATGATTTGACTTGAGCTGGCTTGAACCCATGTTTAAAAACTCGGACTCAAAAAAACACTAATTTTCTGAGACGGTGATGGTCGAGTTGTCAAGACTGCCGGGTTATCGAGTGCCAAGTTTGTGGGACTCTACTGTACTAGTTTGGGAGGACAAAAAAATATTGGAAGATTTTATCCCTGTTGTGTATTATGTAATAGTGTTTGTCCCCAAACAGCAATTATAACAATTAAAGCAATTACAACAAACTAGTACAATATGGCTCATTCCCGATGAGAAATAAAAATAAAGGATATAGGGTCGAAAGGGTTGTAAATTTCTGGACTAAAATTGTCCTTTATAAACATGGATGCATTTACCATTGGCATTTAATCATTTTAAAAGTTTACAATTAAACCCTCGAATTTTTGTTTGTTTCATACAAATACAATTTGTTTAGCAAACCGTGCTTATTTTATGTTCAAAAGTTTTGAATGTTGTCAATTATTTTAAATCAAAAAATAATGCAAACAAACAAATTAAAACTTTTAATTTAAAAAATTTTTAAAGCTAAAATCTCACCTTACTGTATTGCTGGGAAGTGCCATGGGGGACAGCCCCTCCGTACAGGGGGACCTGGTTCTGGGAGGAGTAGTGTTGATTACCAGACTGATGTGGGGGAGGGTATTGAGAGGGGTAGGGAGACACATGGCCTCCAGAAGACGGGTAAGAGGATGGTTGACTTGACGGGTAAGGAGAAGGTTGGCTCGATGGATAAGGAGAAGGTTGGCTTGATGGATAAGGAGAAGGTTGGTTTGATGGATAAGGAGATGGTTGGCTTGATGGATAAGGAGAAGATTGGCTTGATGGATAAGGAGAAGGTTGCCCAGAAGGATAGGGAGCAGGCTGGCCAGATGGGTAAGGATTAGATGGGTATGAACTCGGGTTTGATGGATAAGACGGGTATGGATTAGCACTCGGGTATCCTGAGATGGGTCCAGGAGGGGCTGCGGCGCCCGGATACACGGGGTAAGCCATTGGTGTGGTCTGTTGATACGGCTGGGGCTGCTGAGGATACTGTCCTCCCTTCAAATAACAAAACTCTACTTCAGACTTCAAATAGCTAAACACTTGAAGTTTGGAAAATCCTTTAATGCAGGGGAAGTTATTGTAGAAGTCAAAATAAAAATCCGTATACAACAAAAATCAAATTCTTCAACTATTAACCCAGCAGAGGTCACTTCACACTAAATTGAAAATGTGAGGAGACGCACCCGGTCTTTCTGACCAGGTGAAACTAAAATGCCAAATTTCAGAGGGCATTATAATTTAATTCCTCAAAATCGTAAAAATGTGTAGAATATTTAATTTACAGCCTTCTGAATGTGATTAAGATAGTAAAACATAAAATGGATAGTTGTAACAAAATTATACACCTTGAACTCTTTGTTTTGTATATACTGTTTTGCATATAAATCAAAATGTTTTACAAATGTCAGCACATACATTCCAGGAATTACTACAATTAGTTAAACGTCTGATTGAAAAATTGAGACCGTTGCTTTTTGTGTTAAACCAAGTTGAAAATTATCTTTGGTCGCCCTGGCTTGCTTCTAGAGGTGGTCAGACTACGCTGCTCGCTGGCGTCAGCGAATGCGGGTGGTCACGTGACCTCTAGTTGCCGCTGCCTTGCTACCAAAAGATGAGCATGTCTGACTTCGCCAGCCGCTGACAAATACTCGCCGGCTGGCGGTGCCAGCTGCGAATTTTGTGGTCACATTAAGCTGACAGTAGCGGCTTCTTTCAATTTGCCGCTGATACCAGCCTAGTGTGACCCGTGCTTTAGAGGTACATAATACTTCTCTGTGGCCCAGCAGTTGATTAAATTTCAATACTAATTAATGAAAACTGTTACCAATCAACAATTAAAGGAGAAAAAGCATTTATGACTATGGCTAATTTACAAACCACAAGGAGACGCACACTGTCTTATCAACCGGTAATTCCAAATAACGAGGAGACGCAAAGGGTGGAATTGAACAGTAGGGCCTACATGACGAAAAGCTGTCACTAGACTGAAAAGAGGAGGTGAAGGATGGCAAAAAGGACAGTGTTCCTGGAATGTAGTGTGTTATGCACAGTAAAGGCTGACAATATTGACAACCAATAAATACAATTTTTACAAAAAAAGCACATAGCTGGTCATTTAGACAGCTACCGTATATGCCCTCTCGCGAGTTAAGAGGGTGGTAGATCCTGGGCTTGGGTGACGGTAGTGTAGATGAAGACAACGATTATGTAGATGCCGACAACTCAGATGCAATGCAGCCATCCATTCTCAAGGCACTAACACTCATTTCTGCCCGGCAAGTCCTCTGCAGTAGGATTACTGCATCGCATCCGAAATGTCAGTAACAGCATCATCGTTGTCTTCATCTGTGCGGCCATCACCCGAAGACCAGCAATTACAATCTTTCAGAATATATCGTAGGAGCATATCACAAAAATTAGACAACCTCTAACCATTAATGAATTTTCACCATCAATGGGTCGTTGAAATGGCAACACACACAAAAAATTTAATTTAGCCTAGGCCTACTCTTTACAAGTGATAAACATGAGATACTAGTTAGATTAATAACTTATATTTGAGCTGTATAAGTATAGGCCTAAGTGAACAACATATAACGTATACATCCCGCTAATCAGACTACAAAGTATGACAGGCAAAGTAACACACAAAGTGCAACAGCTGCTGGAATAAAAATGTGAACAACCAGCCCATCATTCCAAATGGCCGTGCCAATTACTTGTATTGCAAAATTTGGATATAGTTTTTCATGAATTCGTGAGCTTAACCTGTAAGATAAAAATTAAATAGTAAAATGTATAAAGCCAACATTACAAAAAGCAAACCTCAATTTTAATTTAATTTTAATTTTAATGTTAGAATAAAAACTTGTAATTGCAGATTACATCAAACTCGAGTAAATATAAGGGTGTCACAGATATGTTATGTTAATAGGTGTCTGAGGTACATTTTGAGAATCTGGCGGCCTAATGTGATAAGAAATGAAGATCTTTGGAGGATAACCAATCACGAACCAATCAAAAATATTACCACCAGAAGAAGTGTGGATATGGATTGGCCATACACTGAGAAGCCCGCAGCACTGTATAGCAATACAGGCACTAGACTAGAATCTGCAGGGAAACAGAAAGCGGGGCAGACCAAAAACAACATGGAGGAGAACCATAGAAAGAGACCTAGCAAGAAGACAGATGACGTGGAGGCAGGCCAAGGCACTTGCTGAAGGGCCGATGCGGGTGGCGGGATTTCGTCGAGGCCATATGTTCCACCTAGGAACTCACGGAAATAAGTCAAGTCACAGAAATGTGTAGTGGGCTCTGCAGAACCACGTTATACATACAATACAAAAAAATATTTAAAAAACAATCAAATTTTTTTCGGCTTAGTTTAGTCTTAATCGTCCATTTTATAATATTGCAAAAATAATTAGGCTAGTAAATCAAAGCTACTTGTTTATATTTCTATGAAACTTGGTAGTTCTATACACTTTAAGGAGAGTTGTTATTAAATGTATCAAAAATAGGCTATTCTTAATCAAACTTTATAAATTTTAAAATTACAGCCTATTCAAACTTTTAAAGTCCGTTAATAAATACTGTAGACAAGTTTTTGACATTTTTAAAAAGCCACATCAAAAAGGATAACATTTTAAAATTATGAAGACATACTATTATACCAACTAAGTTAGTCTCTAGATTCAATTTGAACAACTATTTGCAGTTCCAAAGACACTTTTAATGGCAAAAGTTTAATCACTAGATGTTTTAAAAGGAAAAAATAAAAATGGTTCATTTTGTCACAATTATTTTTAAATTACTAAACACTAAAACTATTATAGGTTAACTAAGCCAATATTATTGAAATATTACTGGTCATTTTGGACTTACACACCTCTACACTACAGAACCCGCTACATATTTTTGTGACACCCTGATGCTGTAGTATAAAATAATTTATATCCAAATTTTAGCGTAATTTAAATCCAATATCCTGAATTAAATCATACCTACATTTGCTTGGAAGTTTGTTAAAAGGTGTTAATGTAGCCTTGTTTGAAGGCCACTTGAATGCCTTACATAGAAACATTCATATCAAACACATTTCTACTATACAGTAGCCTATGTGAAAAACACACACACACATGCAAACAAGCAAACATGACTGTACATATTTTGTTTCTTATTTCTTATTTTAGTATGATTAGTCACAGTAGTCCAGCTCGCAAAAATAATATTATTTGTAATATTATCTTAAATTAATTTAAGAAATACCAGTGCACCTGTTGCTCGAATTCGAGCAGTTACAAAATGTTGCAGGCGTTGTTTCAAAACGAATAACAGTCATAATTTTCAATGACTTAAAAGAGTCGACTCAAAGATAAATAATCAATCACTTTACACCAGTTATCTAATCTAATTAACTATACAGCCCGATGTGTAACTGACTGATCAGGTATACTAATGTTTGGGCACTTCTAGATGAGCTAGAGACTTGAAATTTTCGGTGTTTTGTAGGTCTAGTGTCCAAACCCCCGGAAAAATTCCGAAAAGTAGCATTTTCCCCTTTCAACCCCCCCTAAATTGACAATTCCCCCCCCTATGTTATTCTTATGGGAAATAACATAGAAAATTCCCGACTTTGGTAAGCTCATCTGAACCGTTTAGAAAAGTGCTAGAGACTTGAAATTTGCGTAGTATTGCACTATGGGATCTTATGTTACCGGTGAAATTCGTAAAAACCCCATTTTCAAAATGCAACCCCCCCAAAAAAATTCCATTAAAAACGCCCTTTTTTGGGGAAAACATGTTTTTTTAAAACAGCTGTAGCTCAAAAACGGTAAGTGCTAGAATCGATTTGAGGAAAAATCGTGAGTTTGGAATGAAATTTTCTACAAGACACTATTACGCGTTTTTCAAAAATCGCACTCCTTCACCTTCAAAAAACGCCCTACTTCCAAAAATTGTGAAAATGCTCGATTTTTTTTACGTGTTTTTAATTTTTAAAACGACTTTTCGTTCGTATATTTGTACTTTTTATGCTCCCAACATTGAAAGGAAAGTGCCTCAAGTGACCTTCTATAATTTTAACGTACTAAAAAAAATTAAAAATGGCGGATATTCAATAAAAAATATTATTTTTAACGTATTTCTTATGGAGAATTAACATGCTACGACAAGCAAACTAGAAGTAAACGTCAGTAGGTGAAATATGGGCGTTTGGCGACAGAAAAAGCATTTTTGTCACTTCTAGAGTTGCTACGGAGCTGAAATTTTTTGTAAAGGTTTGTCTGGGTACCAAACCATCCAGAAAGTCCCAAAATTTAGTTTTTTCCAACCGAAACCCATTAAAAGAAATCCCTTAAAACCCTAGTTTTTGGGAAAAACACGTTTTTTTAAAACTGCTGTAGCTCGAAAACGGTAAGAGCTAGAATCGAATTGAGGGGAAATTGTAGGTTCAGAATTAAATTTCTACAAGACACTTTTCTCTAATAAATCTGACTCCTTCACCTTCAAAAAACGCCCTACTTCGAAAAATTGTGAAAATTCTTGATTTTTTTGGTGTTTTTAATTTATAAAACGACTTTTCGTACATATATATGTACTTTTTATGGTCTTAACGTTGAAAAGAAAATCCTTTGAGTGACCTTCTATAATTTCAACGTGCTAAAAAATTTAAAATGGTGGGTTTTCATTCAAAAAGGTAGTTTTTAACTCTTTTTTAACGTATTCCTTATAGAAGATTAACATGCTTATACACGCAAACGAGATCTAAATGTAAGTAGGTGAATTATGGATATTTAGACCAATCCCATTCTAACCCTCCCTCTTTCATCCCCATCAATAAAATTTTACCATTAGCAACAGGGTGCAGCCCTATTATTTTTTTTAAATTTATGACAATAGCTGATTTGCAACCAACAGTTGAGTGAGCGTAGCGAACGAGCTAACCTAAAGGCAAGTGAGCGCAGCGAACAAGCTCCAACCTAAAAGTGAGT